AGCTCGAATTCGGTTTGAGTCAAAAATTTATAAGCTCGAACTTGGTTTGGCTCGAGTTTGATTTTGAGAAAAAATGTTTTATAAAATAAAAAATTATATATCAAATATTTTTTATTTGATATTTAAAAAATTAAGAATTATAATAATTTTATTATATATTATTTTCTATAATTTTATTATATATATATATTCGAGTCGGCTTGCGAGCCTCACGAGCCAAGCTCTAGTAGGCTCGAACTCGACTTGTTTAATAATTGAGCCAATGAATTGGACTCGAACAGTTTGTGAAAAGCTTGACTTATTGCTACCCCTAATTCACTTCCACAAGAACAGCTAAAGTGCTTTGCTAAACCTTCTTTATCAATGGGTGGTTAGGTTTGGGCAATTCTAGGTAGAATTAGAACACGCTTAGAACTGTCTTTATTAATAGTTATTGGGTCCTATAGGGTCTTACTCAATAGACCTGACTATTTTGAAAATAATATTTATTTATTTGAATACTAACTTAAAATGTAAAATTTGATAATATAATCTCAATGAAAATGATAGTAAAATGCTAAATTTTTATATGCTAATTTACTAAACAATTTTAACAAATATTATCATATATATTATTTATCAAATTTACCATTTTAGACATGAAGTATAATAAAAATCAAGGTTTTAAAAACCGATTCATAACCGAAACCGTTTTGGCCACTAGTTTCCAAGTTGATGGTTTAACTGTCCGGTTTGAACGGATGGCCCGTTCTAATTTAATAAAAATGAAAAACAGCTAAAAACCGTTGAGCGGGTCGAACATATCAACGGTTTGACCACCTAGGTCATAGGTCACTAACCAAATCAATGGTTTTTGGCTAAGGATCAGATTAAGGGTGAAACGGAACCGATTTCTTGGGCCGAAAAAATTCGGTCATTCAGGTCAGCAGTGGTTCAAAAACACAGATAAAAATTATAATAATATGAAGAAAATATTATATATATTTAATAAAAATAATCAAATTGAAAAAAAAAACAAAAACCGACAGACAAAATCTTAAAATCAGAACCGACATAATTGGTTAGGTTCGATTTGAGAAGTCCAAACCGACCCATTGACAGCCTCACTCAAAATGCATCAGATTTGCTGCTTTCGACAAGGGTTGCAACTTGCAACTTACAATTACGTTCCAATCCAATGCAGCTCCGACCCGAAATATGTATTGGTTTTGGTCGGTTGCAGATATATCAAATATAATGCTTTTATGGTACCAAGTTACTAGCTTTTCTGGGGCATATCGCATAGAGGGAGGCAACAAGGCATAAAAGCTTCTGGTCATAAGCTAGCGTTGAGCGTTCGTTCAGTTTGAAGTTTGAAGCATGGTTTTTAAAATCGGATGAGATCGAATGGTTGGATAAAAAAATTAAGAATCGGTCAAGTGATCAGTTCCGGTTTTTCTTAAAATTGAATTTTTTATCAAAAAAATATTGATTTAATTAATAAACCGTTGATTCGGGCGATTGAACTGTTCCAACTATTCATTGGTTTTGATCATTTTTATTTATTTATTTTTGAATTATCTTTTTGGTTTAAAGAGTCAAACTATTCGACCTGAGAACTAGACCCTGATCGATTCGTTGTCCGAATCGATTTTAAAAACCTTGGTTTGAAGTTTTTTTTTTTTTTTTTCATTTTGGATTTTTTATTTTTATTCGATTTGAGCTTGAAGTTGGAACGGGGCAACATTGGATTTCTTCGTGGAGCCAATAAGCATGTAACAAACAAGGCTGAGGAGGACAGCATTATAAGGTTGAGCTGACAAAAGTTATCAGAATCTCGTACTCCCTGCTGGGGCCCCAGGTCCATCTTAGCTTCACTATTTCTGGATATAGACTGAGGATCCAGTGACTTCTCTCCAATTTGGCAAACCAAAAATCCTATGTTTAGATGTAACTCGATTATATTTGTATTAATACAAATGCATTGGAGTGCAAATGAAAATAGTTTTGTTTTAGGTTTTATTTATTTTTGTTCAAGTCTTATTTTAATTCATTCATACCATAATCAAATAAAAAAGAAGGTAAAATTTAAAATAAAAAAAAACAAATTAGAATTTGCATCTAAATCATTTGTACTACCATAGTAAATTTGCAGTACAACGTAGAATGTCAAACTTTATATTTTGTTTTATTTTCTATGTATTTGTATTTTTCAAATTGAGCCTAAGGGAAACTTTTATGATTTTGTATAGTTTGAAACTGTGACAAGTATTTTTAAGAATGACAATGGGGCGGGGTGGGGCAGGTTTTGCACACCGTGTCCCTTGCCTCGCCTCAAACCCCACTGGGGCTAGAAAACGGGGATCCTCAAGTTTGCCCTGCACTGTCGTGGTCATTCCTACTTGCATATTTACAAATTTATTTATTCATTTATTTATTTTTTAAATATATCTAAAACTATATTATATTATGTAATGTAATATAATTAAGACGAATTCGAGTCTATATTAGGGCAAGGTAGAGAAATACAATCCTTACTCTGTCCTCAATCCCTAGAGTTTCGGGTTTCCCCGTAACCCTTACAATTCAAGAAGATACTGTATCATAGATAGGGGCTTGAAACAATCCATTGAGAAAACCAATAAATATTTTGAAGGGAATCATCAAAGATGCTTCACATGTGTTGCAAAGATGACCTACGTTATAGGTTTAGGCCCTAGCCAAGTGGGCTGTGTCAATCGGTTCGATCAGATAGAATATTGGTGGCCACCAAGAATTAAGCAGGGTTGAGAGTGAGGTCTGAGCCTGAGGGGAAAAAGAAGAAGGGTGGCTGCTGGGTGGGGCCATGAACACAACTGCTGGGTTACATTTGTATGGGCTTGGAATCCGATCCGAATCCTCTAGAAACATATTTAGGGCTAACCAATCACAAGGTGAGAAAACCTTCATGACAATAAAGACTCAGTTTGGGAGTTTGGGAGGAGTATAAATGTAAATATGTAAAGTAGGTCCCTTTTGGTCAAATCTACCCGAATCTCATGCTATAATGTCCTAACCCTAATATCTAACCAACAAGTTAGCACAAATATTCAAACTTAAGTGGTCAGCAGCCCAAATCAAATGCACAATTATATTAAAGCAATTGTAAGAGCAATGGAGAAATTATTGGCTCTACCCAATAGGAGGAATTTGTATATGACGAAGTGCATTTTTTAGTTAAAGTTTATGGATTTTAAGGCTTTAGGGTACGTGGTTCAGGGTTTAAGATTTAGGGTTTTTTGTATAAATTCATCCGACCCATCAGCACACAAAGTATAGAATTTGCCTTTCCCTGGTTCAAACCCTTGCCCTTCACAAGAGATGCCTTATGATCAACTCGACGTCGACTGAATTGACCAAAAGAAATGAATTTCAAGGCTCTTCTTTTAGCTTTGTCCTTGTTATAAATTTGATTTTCTGGTGGTTTCGATCTTTATCTTATAAATTGATGGTTGAGGGAGCAACATTAGAGAATAGAGATGGAGAATATATAACTATTGATACAAAAGGAATAAAGTAAGAATCGAGATTTTGGCTGTTGAATTCTATTATTCTTTCATTAGTCTCAACTCTCAAGAAGGACCAATTAACAAAGACGTACGTGTCGCAAACACTTGGAACATGAAATGGCAGATGCCATATATAAATCAACACGTGTCTCAATAGACCGAAAAGGGGGCTCATCACCAGCCCAACAATTGCGTCCAATTGGCTCCCCTTTGATTCTTCGAGAATTAGGCTAGTTTTATTTTGTTTTTTCTTCTTTTTTAATTTCCAAAAAAAAAAAAGAAATGCTAGATTCCTACTGTCATGGCTCTCATGGCAACCGTATCTTTCCTTTTCGTTTAGAGCGTACTAGAAAAAAATTTTCTTTTTTCTGAAACAGTAGTGGGCTAATTAATTAATAATTATCTAGATCCATTTCATAATCTGCAATTTAACAGTGGATTTAGTTTTAAATACAATGTATTAGCTAAATAGGATTTATGTAATTGATCCCATATAATTGATGAGATAAGGTATGGATAATGATGATGATTGTTAGAGGGTGTGTTTTTTTTTTTTTTTTTTGATTTTGAGAAGGAGAAAAGTTGGTCAACGAGATTTTGGTTCCTATTGACTAACAATTTCATATTCTTTTTTCAGATTTATATGGGAATTAAGAAAAGTTTATTTTCCTAGGTATCATTTACCGGGATAAATGATACCCATCTCTTAGGTGGATAAATAACTTTTCCACCTAGGGAAAAAGTTACCAATATTTAAATCAGACAAAAATATTACTTCTTAATAATATATTTTTATGACTAAAATGGTCATTACCTTGTTAACATGAGAAATAAAAGAACATGAATAAATATATTTATTCATAAAAAAGTCATCCAATTAACTATATTTACCTGGATAAATAACTACCAAAAAGAGAACTGGCCTTGAACATTACATTAGTAAAAGAATAATAGGGGCAGTATTTATCTATTAATCGGTTAATAAATTAAGTTGGTATTGGGTTCTAACTATTGAACCCATGAGGAACAATATTAATATATTCCCATATGACAACAAAAAGTTGTATTCTCCACTGTCTTTGAGCGAGCCCAGATATGATTGCATTATACTCTCTAACTCGGAAGTCAAATATTATTTTATGGTTAACAGTTGGAACTTTGAGACAGTTCTAACAAAATTAAAAATTCAAAAAATAAAAAGAAAACTCCATTACTCCATTAGCCATACACTGTAGTGGCTCATTCCATCTAGCTTGACACCGACACAGCTGACGAGTCTGAAAGCTTTCAAACATGCTGCTCTTTCGTAAAAGTTGTTGACATCCCCTTCATTCATTCTACGTACAGAACTTTGGAATTTACAGATAATATAATATAAGCTTCACAGCCAAGCTCCACGTTCCTTTCATCCTTTCTGCTTATAAAAAGGCTTGTGTTATAATATAAGCTTCACATATCCAATTCATCATCAACATCGAGCCACTACCCACTACCCAGTCGGCCAATCCCTCTAGCTAGCTAGAGCTCTCCATCTCATCGTCATCATTGTATTAGCCATTGTTTCTGTCATGGCAAGGATTTTGGAACCCTTGACTGTAGGGAGAGTTGTAGGTGAGGTTGTAGATTTCTTCACTCCTAGCGTGAAGATGACTGTGACCTACTACTCCAATAAGCAAGTCTGCAATGGGCATGAGTTGATGCCTTCAGTCATAACCTCCAGACCTCGAGTCGAGATTGGTGGTGAAGATCTGAGGGCTGCCTACACACTTGTAAGTCTCACCTGATGATCACCACAGCTCTACCAATATTGTTTTGGCCTTGTCTGGCTATATTATTATAACCACTCTCATTAACTCTAGCTTTGAATTTTCTCTTTTGTTAACTTGGATGAAGATCATGACAGACCCAGATGCTCCAAGCCCCAGTGGTCCATACTTGAGAGAACACCTTCACTGGTTTGTATATATTTTGCACTGAAAATCCTACTCCGGATCCCCTTTCCATTTTTTTTTGGTGAAACCTCTTTTAATAGCTGCATCTCTAATTATGGAGCAAATAATATCTGCAACTCTTTAACCTTCAGGATTGTTACGGATATTCCTGGCACAACCGATTCATCCTTTGGTGAGTGGGTCTCTCTCCCTGAAAAGTCTTCTATATTGATTTATTTCTTCTTCATATATATATATATATATATATATATGGAATCCGTCTTGATCACAGGCAGAGAAATCGTGGAGTATGAGACCCCGAAGCCAGTTATCGGCATCCACAGGTTTGTCTTCATTCTATTCAAGCAGAGGGGGAGGCAAACAGTGAAGCCTCCGGCTTCAAGAGACCACTTCAACACAAGGAAGTTCTCGGAAGAGAATGGTCTAGGGCTCCCGGTAGCTGCGGTTTACTTCAACGCACAGAGAGAAACTGCAGCTAGACGACGATGAAGAAGAAGAGATGCCTAAGCCTAAAGAGAGTATAGTTGGTGTGAGAGAGTCTATTAGGACAAAGTGATTCTTCTTCACGAGTGTCAGCAGTCAGCACTACTACTTCATTTCTCTTCTCTGTGAGTTTGTTGGCTTGTGTTTGGTCGTAAGTCGTAACGTAGGTTGATATATATTATATATATATATATATATTATATATATAGTAATCAGTAATCACTACTTTGTTTAATTGTTTACGTCATGGGTATCGGTCCCAGTTTCCCACCAGTCGTAATCAGATACGATGCTATCAGAGCTTCCCACGTACTGCCACGTGGAAATCCAGGGATACATCATAAGCCTGTGTAACACTGTATCGGTTTGGTTTGAGCCCTTGAAGTAGCATGTATTGCAGTGTACTGTACTGTACTGGCTGGTGTACTATGTACTTGGGTTTTGTTTCCATATATAATTAATGTGATTATGTGAGTTCACATCTTGCCCCCTCCCCCCCCCCCACACACCCCGAGGCAGGATCTGCTCTCCCGCACTTATGTGTAATTATTTACGGGAGATGTTTGGGATGTGTTCGTGAGATCGTTGTGAGGCGCCGTGTGTAAAGAATAGATCTCAATTTCTCCATTCTATAAAAATGCGTCAAAATGTTCCACATGCGTTCTAAAAATGTTCCCAATTTACATTGGGATGCGCCGTTGAACGTTTTTGGGGCCCATTCTGTGCAGATTTGAACTCAATTAATGTGGATTTTTTTTCTTTTATTTTCTTTTTGGCTATTATTTGAAACATCCCTCCATTTTTTCTTTCATTTTTTGAAAAAACACCCCTCCACTTTATACACCTCCCTAAAAACCCCCTGTTAGAAAATTGTCATAAAAAAGCTACCTACTGTCTTTGCAAGATTAAAAAAAAAAACAGGCCCATACATTCAATCAAATTGAATTGTTGGGGGATTGTGAGATGAGGGAACATAATAAAATAAGGGAGAAAGTGGTATTTTTTGTCATGTAAAAATTAGTTTAATAAAATAGATTGGTTGGTCAAAGTTCAGTTTTGTCATTAAAAAATAAAAATACGAAGCTGATGACCCTAGTCACTCTGTCCTTCTGAAATGGAAGTGTGGGATCAAATCCATGTAACTGCAAACTCTTAATGGTAAGATCAGTGGACCTCATGTGCTCCTTGCTCCGTTCCCACCCCTTATTTCCGTTGTAACGTGTAATTTGTAATTAAAAAATAAAAAAATAAAATCCTAAAGTATGCCTTTGTGGAGGTATGAAAAAGTCAAGATAAGTTTAAGAAAATGTTAGAAAAGTAAATGGGAGTTTGGGGTAAACCCCTATTTTTGGCCAAGCAAAAATAAATGAGGTCAAATGGTTGAAAGGAGAATAGGTACTTTGGTAACAGCTGAAGTTGATGAACTTAAATGATTTAAAAATAAAATAATAAAACATTAAAGGGTATGATAATCAACCCAATTTCAGCTCTAGGGATTAGCTAACAATCGTTCAGAACTTTTTGACAAAAGAAAAAAGAAAAAAGGCAATAAGCTTTTGAGTTCAGACACTTAAGCTGTTATCAAAACGGTTCCCCTGGCAGCAACCTTGTGTTGGTTAATAAGGGGTGAAGCAGTTAATTCTATCTGGACGATCTGATTTTGATGGATGAAGGGTGGTGGTACCAGGCATCAACGACGACAGTGTCGTTTTGATTTTTAACAGAACGAAACAATCTATCACAATGACAAATATCAAATAGTCACAGTGCATATTTGGCCCATAACCCAGCCCTACAGGGGTGGGCCCATCATTGTGTGGTTGCTTCGTGGGAACAAGGATCCTCTGTCTTCCCTTCTGTATACACTTTCTGTGTCCTCCCCATTCAGGGATAGACACCTGTCCCATCACATATGATTCATTCTCCCCTCTATCAGCCAGTATTACTTTCAACAATTTTAAGTTGTTTTTTTTTCTTATTTTTTTTATGTTATGTGAAATGTTCATCAATTTTTTTTTCTTTCTTTATTTCTGTATTTATTTTGGATCTTGTAGGGATTGAGCTACTCCTTATGCTGTGTTTGGAAATGATGCAAATAAGTGTGAATGCAAATATGTAGAGTATAAAATGATTCATATAAATTGCAAAGTTGGATTCGTTTTGCACTGACAAATTTAACTTCTTACCAAAGAGACTTTTAGCCATAATGGATATAAACATGAATTCCAGTAAAACATATGCCTTTTTTTATCAAAAGCCACTTGAATGCAAATTTACTTCTTTTTTATTGATATACTTTTACATCTTATTATCAATGTAAACATGCATCCAAAAATGTGTTTTTTATCATTTGTCAATGCATAAATGTAATGTTGTCAAACGCAAGCAAATGTGAACCAGAATTTAATTTACCCTGAACCAGAATTTACACTCCATTTGCATTGTTTCCAAATGCAGCCTTAATAATGATTTGGTGTCTCTGGTCCCGTCCGTGGGCCTAGCCAATGATCGACACTGAGAGGAAAAGAGGGAAGGGAACAAATGCAAGATTGTGCACAATCTAATGCTAATAGGTAGACCATCTATCTGACTATCCCTCCAGCTCTACTCAATGTCTGTTGGAGCTACCTGTTACAGAAAATGGGGAAAGGTTTCTTTAAGGGATATTGTTCTTTTTTTTTTCTTTAGATTTAGAAAAAACAATCAACTAGAGTTGCCAGTCTGGTTTGTACATCATACATGACACGTAGTAATTAGATGGTAATATCTGCTATTTTACCATGGCAACAAGCCTCAGATTTCAGACATTTTAAGTCTAAGTTTAGAGTATAACTATGACACATTTAAATAAAAATAACGAGTCTATGACACTAGGCATCCAAAGAGATTCTGTTATAGAGTATAACTAAACAGAAACAAATGTAAACAACACAACTCAGAAAGCATCAATTGAAACTAGTATTAACTGATCAAATTCTAAATGAAAACCATTTGCCTTCTCTGACCTTTTTTTCTTGATCCATAATCTCTGACCTTTCTATTACACTAAATAAACTAATAAATCAAAACATAAAAATATTACACATACCAGTCCTTAAATCTGTTAACTTACTCTGAATCTAGTTAAAACTGGAAATCTGATGGGATCCCAGGGTTGTCAGTGAAGTGTAATCAAAGACCGAAGCAAACATAAACTAACAATCATTCTCTATGACTGGGCAGAGTACTGTCTAACTCTGAACTGTGCATACATTTTTCATTAAAACTTTCCATCTTCAAAGAACAGGACCATCTGGTATAAAATCATTCATGCATTTATTTCTGAGTTGCATTGATGTTCCCTGTGGCAACTTCTTCTGTTCCAAAAAAGCCTTGAACAACTAACTCTCTCAAGTCTCGGCCCTTCTAGTTTATCCTGCTCCACTGATGTACCATGTGAGTCAGAAGATACACCTTGCATTTCTCTCTCTTGCAGTTCAAGAGATGGGCACGACTCATCATTGCACGTGCACAAGGGGATTGCAACTGAATGGAATGGGCTACAAGAGACAGAGCAGAGAAGATCTGAAGAAACTGCAGCAACACGGTTCTTGCGGATCTCTGATTTACAAGTTGCTGTTGGGGTGTCTGGATCATGATGGTGAAGCATGCATGGGGTACAGAGGCCAAGAGATAGATGTAGTTTGAGTTCCTTTTCTGGTGAACCAGGCAATTTATTGAAAGAGATTATGCTATGTCTGCAGAGAGGGCATGGAATGGACCCAGGTGGGCCAGCCATTTCAGATGGAATATTGCTTGTTGAGCAGAGATAGAGTGCACATCTTACACAAAGTTCATGCCTACAACCTGAGAGCACAAATAAAACGAAAATGATTATTATGTAAATCAAATTCGTAATTGAGCTTTTCAATGTTTACTGATGGCTGATTATTGTATGCAAAGCAAGATAGTTCCCTAATGACTGTCTTAGGGTTGCAAACAGATTTAATTGAACTCATACAGGGGTATATCTGAATCTGATATGATCTGATAAGAATCTGAGAGATCCGAATTTGATATCTGATAGATATGTAAAGCATACATTTGAATTCGTTTTGCTTACGTATCTGGAGATCCTGTTTGATTTTAATATAGTAAATTTCTATAAAATTGGCATAAAAATTAAATATAAAACAAGAGATATACAAATACCTACAAAGGAAATCAGGATAAACATAACTATACCACATGTGAATGTGTGTTGAAAATTAGTTATTGAATGAGTTTTATGGACTAAAACATGAATTGAAAAAATATAATATAATTGTATATTTTCCTTGTTAAATAACAGCTAAATTCTATTCATGATTTCAGGTGACCATGGTCTTCAGAAACTGTTTACAAAGAAAAAGGATCTTTTCAAAGCTAGGTATGATGCAAATGTACTCTACCATCCTTTGTAACATCATGACAATTCCCATAATTCAGTTTTTCTGGGTCTTTCTCACTCTTATGCTCATTTGAGCATATGAAAAGTGAATGCCATCATGTGTGTAACTCCTACTTTATTCTAAGATCATAAAACTTTCATTTTTCATGAAACATTCTCCACTTATTAATATTATTTTTTTTGCATCCCATTGAATCTGCTTGAACGTGATTGCCCATTTGTCATTTCCTGAAAAATGTTTGAGAGCTAAGATGTCAACACACTTGTTCAATACAACACATTCTCAATGAATGATTATGAATCAAGCTCACAAACCCTCTGTTTACATCAGTATTTGACCCTTTCAGGTAGGATCTCTCTAGAAGGTGAAGTTCCTTAATTTAACAAAAGATGAGTATCACATTTGAGTCTTGAGGAATGGCAGTGTACACAAAGAATTCTCTCTGATTGAGCAGGAATGCTTGTGATATAAATTCAAGAATGAATAGTCAATAAAATAAAATGGTTAATGTTATGCTGTTTATTTCACCTACTCAGTTAAGCCATCATAAGCTTGGGGCTTGAGGGTGTAAAATTTTCCTTTTGCTGTCAACCCACAATCTTACCTCTTGTATTTTGGCCATTTGACTGTACCATTCTAAGAGAATACTAAGGGTCCATTTGGTTCGCAGTTGGAATCGGAATTGAAATCCTTCGAGAATCAGAATCGGAATGGTCTATTCCCATAGTCTGTTTAGTTCAAACAGGAATCGGGATTGGAATTTGAATCAGCTGGAATGGGATTTCATTCCCAAAGGAGGGGAAGGGAATGACCATTCTCTCAAATGGGGGAATGCCATTCCACCAGGAATGGGAATGGGATTCCGATTCCGCCCAACCAAAAAGTTGGAATTGGAATGGCCCATTCTGATTCTGATTCCAGACCCCTATTCTGGCAAACCAAACAGGCTCTAAGCTTTTAAAAGTCAATCAAACAAAGGGAATGGCTTGCAACTTTTATGTTTACATCTTGCACTACTCCTGGAAGTCCAAAAGTATGAAAATAGCAGTCAAATAATTACCATTATGAAAAACTTCCCATAGATGCTGAGGGTCCATTTGTTTTGCAGTTGGAATCGGAATCAAAATCTGTTTTTTTAATCAGCAGAATTGAGAATTTTATTAAAGTGTACTAAATTTTGAAATTACAGTAAGTCTGATCAATTCCCACAAGGTACAAATGTTACAATTGCGCCCAAAACAATTGTTGCCTATTTATCCCTTCTTTTGCTAGAGTATCAGCCATCCCATTTGCAGTCCTTACCCAATTGAATGTAATGTTCAGCTCCTGTTTTATGCTTTCAATTATCGGAATCAAAATCCTTTGGAATCGGAATGATCTATTCCCATAGTCTGTTTGCTTCAGACAGGAATCGGAATGGGAATTGGAATAAACTGGAATGGGATTTCATTCCCAAGGGAAGGGGAGGGAATGACCATTCCCTCAAATGGGAGAATATGGGAAGGGGATTCCAATTCCACCCAACCAAACAGCTAGAAAAGGAATGGCCTATTCCAATTCCGATTCCAAACCCCTATTCCCGCACACCAAATGGGCCCTTTATTTTGGATACTATGATTGAAAGCAAAATGGTATCATTTGTTGCAGTTAGCATTAGGAACTGTGAATAACCTCTTCTCTTTCCATTTTTTATCTTAAAAAAGAAAGATAAATTGAAGAGAAGGGAAATGATCAACACAAAACTAATATGAAACACCCAGAAAAGAAAGTACATACCTTCAGCAGCTACATCACATGCTCTCTCCAGGCAAACAGCACAAATATTACTGTCATCAGAGGTGGCAGTTGAGGGCTGCAATCCATAATCCCTGCAGAGAGTAGTTATGAAAGGATAATGGTCAGAATAGACAGAACAACTGTCTAAAAGAGGGTGTTGAGAAATTACTCCAACCACAACAAACTTACAAGGATGAAAGAAAACCAAAGATATTCTGATGTACATATCATCTATAACAACCATTTTTTTTTAATAATATCTACAATATCAAGAATGTGTCAAAAATCCAAGCCAAAAGAGAATCTATCAACATTTTCAAACCCCAGATAAACCATCAATTTATCCAAGATAAGAGATCCGGTATCAGTACAACCTCCTAAACAGAGGGGAGAAGAATGACTAGATAGCAATTACAACCATGAATAAATGTTTAAGGTATTCTTCATTCTTGTTGCAAATAGTACAAAAATTGGGCATCTGAAAGCCTCTACTCTTCATACAAGTTATGGTATTAAATGCACACACGCGCACACTTGCTTATAGAATCCATGTAAATGCTTCCACTCTTCCATTGTGGTAGATCCCCGAGAACATTTCTACTAATATACTCTCCAAATATTCTCATGGCAACTAAAAACCCCCCTTTTCAGGAGAAGTGGTTAGCAATTCTTCTATAGGCTATGATAGATACCTATACAAGGTGGATGCATCATGTTGGATACTTAAATTTTAGTGTAAATTTCATATCCAATGCCTTGTCCATCGTTCTCCTTTCCATATCTGAATAACATAGGTTATGGAAACAGACAACACTTCAGGTTGTATATGGGATGTAAGGAACTAATACAAACAGCACTTTACATACAAGACAAGATCAATAATACTGGATCACAATGTTAGACATTTGCCTTTGGGCCTGGAGCCCTCCAGACAAGCACAACCCTTGTAATCCACTTATCCCTTGTCTTACTCTATTTTCCACTCTTGTAACCAATCTGAGTAAGCAGTTTAGTTTAGCTGAAACCTTTTTTTATCAATTTAGTTGATGCCCTATTCCTCTTCCACTTTTCATCTCATTTAGCCTAGATCACATTGAATCTTCTAGTAAGCACTAAGGAACCTCCAAACTTCTATTAGTCAACTTTCCTTTTCCTTAGCTTTCCTCTTCCCCTCATTAGAACCATAGGTATTTAGAAATAAGCCAAATCCCCTTGCCTACCATGTTCTTGAAATAAATAGCTAGAGAAAAACTTATATTTATTTCACCAATGCCCGAAACCACCTTTAAATCCCACACTGTAAGAATTGTACCCAGACAATCCTTTTGCCTGTACATGAGCTCATTCCTTAAACTTTTTGGGTAATAAAATAAACTTTATTAAAATAAAAAAAAAAAGACAATACAATAAAGGTGACCAGAAGTTACCTGATAGAAGAAACAAGAGCCCTAAACTGATCACAACCCAACACTCCAGAAACCAAAACAACACTACCTCATCTGAGGAAAAAACCCACAACACCTGATCCAATAGAATGTAAGACAAAAACTGCTCTCCTAACTGACCTTACCACTCAGACTTTACAAATTTCATTGCACCCCTTACAGAGGTGGCATTTCTCTTTCCTTTTGTTTTGAAGAGTGAGCCACCTCATTCCAAACACTTATTATATCAGTCACTGTAAAACAATGGAAGATGTCCAAGGTTTTTATCCAATAAGCCACTCTAGATTTTATTAATTCCACCAACTCTTCCTTTAACCTGATCTTCTCATTAAATATTCTTGCATTTCTCTCCTCCCAGATGGACCACACCACAACAGCTCTAACTGCCTTCCACATTGTTCTTCCTCTTTTTGTTGGCTGTCTTAAGAAATTTTGGCTGAAGAGGCTCACTATATCCCAAGTAGCCATCCACCTGCAAACCGAAAAGAGAACAAAAATACTCCCACATATACAACACAAAAGGACAAGAGGTTAGTAAGTGGGATAAGGATCGAACATTTTCAAAACAAAGAAAGCACACATGTGGGGACAGACATCTATTTGGTCTCCTCTTTTGAAGCATATCACAAGTGTTCACCTTTCCAAGAAAAACCTCCCAGCATAGTGCTTGAACTTTAGGTGGTATGGGCTTATTCCAAAGTTCTTTCACCGGAAATTCTCTCCCACCTCCAAAGGTTATAAGAGTAAATTGAAAAATGAGGTGCAAGTGAATATAGCGCCGGGGGAGGTAGTCCATAATCTGGTTTGGATCAAGAAAACAGACTGGAGTTTATCCAATAACTGAATAAAGGCCTCACACTCATTATCTCTCAGCCCCCTTCTGAACCCGAAATCCCAACTCACACCCCCTGAAGAAAAAGTGGCAAATCTTGAGATTGCACGATTCTTGAGGTCAGACACTGAATAAAGGCCCGGAAAAAGAGAACTAAGAGGTGCATCAGCCAACCATATATCTTCCCAAAAGAGAACCGTCAACCCACACCCCACATCATACCTGGTAAAATTGAGAAAGGTTGGGTATACTTTTTGGATTTCTTTCCATGGAGAACTTGAGGTAGAGGAGGTAACCACCTTTGCATCCCAGCCATTGCTCATCATCCTGTGAATGCTTTCAATGACCTTGTGCCATAGCTTATCTCTTTCCAATGGGAACCTCCAGAGCCACTTTCCCAATAAAGATGCATTCCTAAGAACCGAGTTCCCTATACCAAGTCCCCCCTTCTTTACTTTACTAACTTGTTGCCACTTTACCAAATGGTCCCTCTTCTCATCCCTAGGCTCCCAGAGAAAGTCCCTCATGAGCTTTTCTAGCTGACCTGCTATCCTAGAAGATATTCTAAAGGTGGATATGAAATAAATTGGGAGGTTGGCTAAAGTTGCTCTAATCAAAGTAATCCTCCCAAAGAAAGCCACTTCTAGTCACAATGTTTTGTGGGTTTACAGGCATGCCTTAAGGGAGATAGACAGCTTGAGAGGGAACCAGAACCGCTTCCTTCAATTGGATTCCCAGGACAGCTAATGGGATGGCTGACACTCTAGCAAAGCAAGGGGTTTTGAGGCAGCAGCTTTGGGCTCTATTGTAATTTAGTTTTTGGAAATTTGAATTTCTGGGTGGATGGATCCCCAAGCTGTTGTAACTTTTACCTCCCATTAATAAATTAATCATTTTTTTCCGATTAAAAAAATCCTTAATGGATTTCCTTTTCCAATTGGATTTGAGTAGCTGAAAGAAATATTTCAAACATGATATCTAAGATTCTAAATACCCCTCCCACTCCCAATGGGACTTCATTTCCCATATGCATCCCCTGATGCTTTAGCCCCAAAACCTTAACTCTTGTTCCCATATTCATAAGTTGATGCTTTGAGTGTTGAACAAAAAATCTCCCATGAGGGTTTTGAAGATAAACAAGGTAAATCCTCACACTGAGGAAGGAGGATTCTCCTCACTTCCTATCTTGCAATTTTACTTTTTTTTTCATCAAAGCAATTTTACTTATTTAGTTACAACTTATTTCTCCTTTATCAATTGCTTGTGCCTCCATCTCAAACAGCACCCATACAACAGCTCTACACGCTCCTTTTTCTGCTCTACGCATCTCTCCATATTACCCACCCTTTGTTTTTCTTGCTCCCTCCCTTACCTACACTAATCTTCTTTCAACCACTTCAACTCTAGATTCTTCTAGCCCTTTCCCCCTCCAAAGTCCCTTCTGGATGAATTGAGCATACTTCCTGTCTTGTACCTTAACTGCCCCCTGCTTTTCCAAAGTATCTGCAAAAGCATTTACTGTTCTCTTCACCCACTGAAACTGGATTCCACCACTTCAATGACAAGCTTTGGTATATTCAGTTCCTTTGTCTTCCTTATACACTCCAGTACGGCATAAACCTCAGCTCTAAGAGAGTCCCCAACCCCAATGGGACCTGAATACATTGCAATCACCTTCCCATTCTCATCTCTGAAGACACCTCCTACACCTGAAGAACCTAGATTCCCTCATTGCTTCCATCAAAATTTAACTTTCTAAAACCAAGGCCGGGTAATGACCACACAACCCTAACTGTTGTTACTTCAAAAATACCTTCTTTATTTCTTTCACTTTCAGAAAATGTCCTAGAATTCCTTTCCTCCCATAAAGTCCAGCATATGGAAGCCCTCACCCCTCACACTGTCTATCCCTTTCTTCTGAATAAGAAAGCACTTTTATTGAAATTCATCACAACCTAGAAAAACAACCCCAACTCTCAGCTCACTTGGACTTCTTGTTCAATCACCTATTTCATATAATCTTTCTGTTTAATTGGTTAGTTTCATTTAGTTAGATATCTTTCTGCCATTATGCTCATCATCTTCTTCTATGTTTTGAAATCATGGATCCTTGTCATCTTTGGTCTTTTTATCTTCAGACAATGATAACATCCCATAGCTCCATCTCATACACTAAGCCCTTAGACAATGAAGGGTGATTTTTCATGTTTGAACCAATGACTTGTTCATTCCCATTAGTTACACCAGTAGCCCCTACTAAAGACAACATTAAACATCTCATTATATTCCCAGACAACACCTGTAGCTGTAATCCGACACAATTCCAACATCTCATTAACCTCTGAAATAGCTCCATAAGAACATCAAGATTTGGAAATCTCCACCAGTGGAAGTCAAACGATTTGACATTGTTAGAGTCGACTATAAGGGGTAGTTTTGTCTTTTCAGTATATATTATTAGTGTGATGTAATGTCTATTATGTTCAAGATTAAGTTATAAGTCCCATACTTAATTAGGGGCATAAGAGTCTTTATGTACTTAATCAGAAACATATAAATACAATCTGGCTGACTAGAGAAGAGTCTTCTTCTCTAGATCGAACCAGTTTTCTCCTCCTTTTTGGATCAATAACAGCAACTTTTATTAAGAAAAAGATGATAGAAAATTACAAAAAGAAGGGAGGGGTAAAAACTCTTAACCCTCCCTAACAATAAAAATCAAATTACAACAATGCCCAAAAAAATTTGCTCTTCCCACCCCTTGTTTAGCCAAAGTGTCTTCCAGAGAGTTAGCACTCCTCTTGGCCCACTGAAC